CCTGCTCACAGACTCCGCCCACTGGCACAGTCTGGCAGACCCCCCTGGAAAGGCGCTGGCCAAGTAAGAGCTGCTTAACACTTTGACATTGAGCGGTTTTGGTATTTTGGGAAGGGGCGTTAACTTGGACTCTTTTCTCCCCCAGGTTGTGTGTGTGGTGTGCACTCAGCTCTTACTCCTCTCATCACAAAGGCTCGTTCTCAGCTCGTCAACGTAAAAGGCAGAGAGAAGATATTGAGGTAAAACAAGACTGTGTGTGTGAGTCATAAGGGCTGCGTATATGTAACTCATGAGAACACTATTTTTAGCTTGAGAAAACTGACATTGATGTGTGTGAATACTGTAGTAACTATTATTATTTGGATAATATCTAATAAAATGTAATCTAACGTGTATTGTTGGGCGCAGGACTACAACAGCCTGTTTCCTTTGGATGACACTCAACCCTCTAAACTCATGCGTCTGCTCAGCTCCAATGAGGATGAGCCTGTAGCCCTTTCCAGTCCAGGTCAGTCTATTAATGTCTTTGTTTTGATGCATGGTTGAATAATTGAGTTGTTTTACAGTCTGAGTTAGGGATTATGCAAATACCAGATGGTTTTCAAAAGCAAATGAACTTGTAGCAAAAGACCATGTTACCAGCAAGTTGCTTCTTGTGAGCACTTTTGCGCTAAATCAAAAGCATAAATAAGCTTGCCATTCTCAACCGATCTGTCTCGACATTAATCGCGTGTTTAGCGTCTTACACATAAGCAGGTTCTGACTTGAGCACAGCAGTCTAATTTGAGCTTTTTGTTTCGAACTATTCAGCACTTTGAGGGCAGTGGAGGTTTTGTATTGTGTGCCAAACAATTCTTCTAATCCTGCTTTCAACCTGATTGACATAAAGACTTCAGATGATCAACTCTGGAAATTTTGACTCTGTTTTAGCTACAATGATGTCAAGAAATCCCCAGACAGGCAATTCTACTCTGCTTGGTGTTATACTGAAACTAAAAAAGTTCCACCTATTTCATTGAAAAGACAAGTCATTTGGAAACCGTTTTGAACATGTCATCTCATAGGAGACCGGTCTATGAGCAGTTCCCTCTCTGCCTCCCAGCTCCACACTGTCAACATGAGGGATCCTCTCAACCGAGTCCTGGGTGAGAACTTTGTCCTGCATGTCCACAGACTCCACACACACGTTCTTTCAGCATGTTACACAGTTGCCTGTTCTTAGAGGGCACATTACTAAGACAATTTATGATGGTCTTCCCCTCAATTTGTCACCCAACTAAGGTTTGAATTAACTTTATAGAATTGTTATCAAGAAATTGTTTTTTATCCATGTTAAACTAAAATTAATGTCCTACATTGGAACAGGCACTTCCATGACCATCAAATATGGAAATGAATTTATCAAGAAAAGCTTCACATTTTGAATCACTTTTTTAATGTGCTGAAGTTACAAATTTTTCTTTTCCAGTTCAGCTCTGACAAATGAGTATTGGATAACATTTAATTATATAAAAAACCTTTATTCGGATGTGTATTTCATTCTAGTTACAGGAAAATGAACACATAAACGTGTGATTACTTCATCTGTGACGATTCATACCACCTGTTCTCTGCTCCTTAGCCAACCTTTTCCTCCTCATTTCCTCCATCGTGGGCTCCAAGATGGCCGGACCTCACACCCTGTTTGTTCAGAGTTTTATGGAAGAGTGTGTTGATTGCCTGGAGCAGGGTAGTCGTGGGAGTATCTTGCAGTTTATGCCCTTCACAATGGTGAGTCATGAGCTGGGAGGAGAAGAAACTGGGAAGGGGAGGCCAGACAGGTGGAGATAAGGAGGGATGAATTTCTGTTGCATCAGAGATTTTTGGGAAGGGTTCGTAATTTTTCTTAAATGTAGTGTTTGTTCTGCTGGTTGCAAGTACATTTTTTAAGGATTAAGTTCCTTGGTTAAGAATGATAAGAAAATGTGCAGGCCAGTACCTTACAGTACCATAAATACCTTAAAATCTGCCGTATGACTACCTTTTAATAGTTAGAATGTAACTTCCATTTCTTCTTCCCTTTTTAAAGAAGGGAAATCAATAACCAATTAATTAATTCAGTCTCAATTCTGGAGGTTGCTACTAAATAATAGATGCAACCATGAATAAATGTAATGAATATAAAGATAAATGCATGAATGAACTATGAATATAGTACAACAAATATGAGGACCAGTGTATACCAGATAAAGTGGAAAAATGGAAAACAAAGTTCAGTTTAGTTCAGTTATTTTATTAGTCCAGGTGGGATACTTGATTTGCAATCAGTGGCACTAACAAGGACAACAAAACACAACACAAATAATAATGATTCCTTCACATATAACGTGCAGTAAACCATAATAAAAACAACAATGCAAAAAAGACAAATAATGTGCAACATGCTAAAATAGAATTTTAAAATTATTTTAAGTACAAATTAGGCAGGGATATTAAGTCTTTTTTGTCCTGTGCTCAGATTCATCATTATGGAACAGGCTAATGATACATTTCAGGATGTACCTGTCCCCTGGCTGGCTTCTGCAGTCGTTGGTGTAAAGAATGTAAAGTAAAGGGGACAAGGCACAGCCCTGAGGAGAGCCAGTGGAAGAGGGGGGCCTCCCCCAAGCCTTTCCAGCAGTTCAGTTTTGACTAGCCTTTCAAATGTCTTCATGACCAGTGAAGTCAACTTAGAACAAACTAACTTAGAATTAACCAGTGAAATCACCCTAATGCACCATTCAGCAGCTGAAAGGTCCGGAGCATCCACCTCAGTATCACAGGAAAAGTAAAGTTTCCCCTGGTTGTTCAAAAGACAGGGAAGGAGTTTCTCTGGAAGGGGGAGACACAGTGTCAGTGCTTGTGTGTGAGTCAAGTTCTCAGGCATTATCGATTCAGCTTGGCCAGCTGATGTGTCTCTTCCTCTCAGGTAGAGCTCTCTGACATTTTCAGGCATTCTTGATCCCCTGTGGTGACTGTTTCTCTCAGCAGGCAGCAGGGTGACACCCCCCCCAACCTGGATGTGCTAGAGACACAGTGGCAGGTTTTGATAGTTTGTCAAAGTTTTTAAGTTTTTGTGTCATTTTCTATTCAAAGAGTAAACATGTGGCATGTTTTCCAGATTAAATGTATGAACATACACAGTTCCTTTTAACACAGTTTGAATTGTTCCTGTATCACCATCAGCATGGCAGCATAAAACTTCATCTTTCTTTATTGTTAGTTAAACACAACATATCAATTAATGTGGATTTAAATTTGGTGGTGCAAAGACAGCAGTGTGAACTCAGGAACAAAGCACAAAGAAACTGTGTGCTGAGAACTTCCAGGCCACATCCTGGAATGTGGGGAGCATTAGGTCATTTCCGCTGTAAACTCTTCCACTTGTCACTTACTTTCCATTAGTGCCATCCAGGCAGAGGCCTATTTTGTGACCCAGTGGTCAAGTAAGCAAGAGGTTTAAGATGGTTCATAAGTTCTCTGTGGAAGATGTAAATTCTTCATCACGCAACAGTGTTGAATGCCAAGCAAGTCAGTAGTTGTGGCCTGTGTGGCACGTTTGAGGTTCTCTCTCTTTCTCTCCTGATCTCTGGATTAAAGTGCTCCTATAGTTATAATATATAGTTAGATCTTCTTCAAAGTGTGAAGAGTGAAGTGTTATTAAACTATACTCATAGTGTTGAAAGTAGAGGAAAAGTGAGGGAAAAGGTTCATTTTGTGCCCTGCCTGTAACCATGGGACTGTTCAAACTGTTTTATTACCCCTAAAACTGTTTATTTCTTTATCATTCCATCACCTACTTTTGTTTCCAGTGGTGAAAAATCCAGGTCTGTTTTTTAGTAGTTAAATATAGTGTACATGCAAAAGACCAGCATGCCTAGAAAACCAGGTGAAGGGTCAAATCTTGCCCTCTGAACAACCAGACTTATTTACATTTATTTCCACCTTGAGCAACATGATGCCCATAGAACAGTTTCATAGGAATGCAGGATTACAGGCAATAAATTATCGGTCCATAATAATTATACTAATAATAATCATGAAAAACTACAGGTTATTAACTTTTTCAAACTGGTATCGGCTACGAGAAGCAGGTAGTATCAGTTATTGTATCAGCTGGGGAAAAAAATCCATATCGTGCATTCCTTCTGTTTCGACGGATGCACTAACTCATTTTCTTTCTTTTTTTTTTTGCATTCAGGTTTCTGAGCTGGTGAAGCTGCCTGCTTTGTCCAAACCTAGAGTGGTACTGGCCATCACTGACCTGACTCTGCCGCTGGGGAGAAGAGTAGCTGCCAAAGCCATCTCTGCCCTGTAAACTGGTTTTAAATTTACCCCAGAACATAATTGACCCCTGTTGGCCCACTCTCTCAGAAGTACAGCCAGCTGTTTAAAAACAACCCCCAGAGGGAGTGAGGGTAGCTCTTAACATGGCTCGTCCATTTAAGGGGATTATTTTTGTTGGAAAATATCATGTTGATTATGATGTCTCTGTACTGTTTTGCTATTGTTTTTTATGTTCTTTTTCATGCTTAAAGAAATGTGTAAATAAGTTTTAAAATAAACAAAAACCCACAATGGTGATCCATTTTCTGCTTGCCAGTATTTACTTTAAGTGTGTTTCCTTTATTTTGTGGTTGAGATCTTATTATGGTTATATTTGGGCACATTTATAAAACATGAGATTCGACCGCAATGATTACAAATTGTGAGTCAGTTGAATGGGTCACGTTGCTTCCACATGACACTACGCAAGGGACTGGATCATTAACGGTAGCTCGTGGTCATCAGGCTGCCACCCATCACTTGCAACACTTCCTCGAGGAAATCTGTCTGGGTGCACAGAAGCCTCTATTTCACTTTTAGTTGCACTTCTCTATTTCAGTGTTAGCTGGAATTTTTTACATAATCTCGTTAATGAGACAGCATGACAGCATGTCAATGACAGTATGCACAGTCATTGACAAAAAGCAACAAGTTCCTTTTCAAGTGTTGGGTTTTTTTTAATTGGAAGATCAGAGAATGCAATCATGTACAATATTGTATATATAATATATTTTTTAAATAAGATACAAAAATACTTAGTTTCTTTTTAATATTTTACAGAATGTGTAATAAGTCCTTAATTTGCCCCCAAACACCTAAAATAAGAGTTAACAGTTCATAAATGTCTGCTGGCTTACACAGGAAGGATCAGGCTTTAAGCTGTTTCTACATGTTATTTTTATAAAACTTGGCTATGGAGAGAGTTATGAGTATTTCTTGATGTGTATATTGTTTATTTTAGTCTGAGACTGGAGGATGATTTCATTTTTTAGTTCTTGCTATGTGTTGTAGGTCTAATGAAGTACTTTCCAAAGAAGCAGCAGACCTATGTTAAAGCAGAAGGACTAACGGATCCGAAGCTTTGTTATCAAAAATACATTTCCTAAATAAATATTCCACATTCCAATTTAATAAATAAATATATAAATAAAAATAGAAATTTATCACAAATAATAAATAATTGTTAAATAAATTAATGCCATAATAAAAAATGGCGGGATATGGTACGTTTTGGACATGAGCCAAAAGCTGGCACTGTTGGACTATATATTGGTCTTGCTCTCTGTCTCCTCCTCATTGCTCTGGTCCAGACTCCTGAGGCAGCGGACCATGTCCTGCCCAAAAGACTGAAGCCGATCCAGAGTCAGGTGTGCTGCCACCTGAACCTCATAGTCCCCTGGTAGACGCAAGACCACAGGAGCAGGCGTGGGTTGCACCACAGCCTCGGATTGGACCATTTTCAGCATCTGCAAGGGACACAAAACAACGTCACGAAGGTGCCTAAAAGCACGCATCTATTGTCAAGAAAGGTGATTTGGAAGTATCCTCCTACCTTATTGATCTGAATGACGAGGTCTCTGATGTCAGCCAGTAGCTCCGTCACTTTGTCTTTGTTTTCCAATCGAGGAGAGACGGCACTCAGTGTGGCCCGGTACAGCTGAAGACCCTCGGACATATGTTTCAAACTAGTTTTCTAATGGGACAGAATAGCAGCAAACTGGTCATGTTGTCAGTTTTTTTTTTTTAAACCAGATCATTTGCAGAATTATTCCCTGAAAGATGCTTACCAAAGTGAAGTGTTCTGACCCAACTTTGAGTACAGGAGCAGAGGGGATGCCAATGGTTACTGCCATTGTCTCAAGATTCGCATTTTCTGAGGAATTGAGTCGTAGGGCCTGGGGTAGAAGGACAGTGAAGAGATCATTGTATGGATAGATTGCATCTTGGCATGCAGCAGAAAGCAAACATTTCCTTTATATGCTCCAAAAGTGGTGGCAGAAATACTCAGATCTTTTACTTAGGAAAAAGTTTTTAAAAAATATCATTAGCACAATGTACACAAGATACTCAATTACAAGTAAAAGTGATTAATTAAATAATATTATTAGGAAAATGTACTTTAAGTATCAAAAGTACTATTAAATATATTTGATTATTATTACTGGTGTATTAAAGCTGCAGTAGGTAACTTTAATAAAAAAAATTGCTGAGAAAGTTGATAGTTGGTTGTTATGTCTCATTCCCAGGTCCCAAAGCGTTTGCAACATCTTGGAAATCAGACTCGACAATCAACTATCTTTCTTGGCTCTGATTGGTTGTCTTCGTACAGGCCTGGTGGATTCTTGCTATTGCCCTTAGGAGCACATATTTCTCACAGATTATCTGTCTGTCCTACTGTCAGGATAAAGTGAAAGTTTACCTACTGCAGCTTTAATTTATGAGAAACAAAGCAGTGGTTGTTGAGGTTGAACTATTTTATCTACTTTTAATCTGGATGCTGCCTCACATTCTATAAACTCATTATAGTTTTATTATGTCCCGTCTGACCTGTTACCTTAAATACATGAAATGCAGTACATGTTGTGCAAGCCTGAAGAATCAGAAATGGAAATATTCAAGTATAAATTGTACTTCAGTGCAGTACCAAGTGTAAATGAATAAAAAATAAATGTAGGCATTGTGAGAAAGGCGTACAAGGATGTGAGATTTTAGCAGAATAGACTGATGATGGTTCCAACTAGCAGTTTCATTCCTGCTTTTACTCAGATAGTTAATACTAATAATAACTAGGCCTAATAATTCATCACATGTATTTATTTGATTTTCAACTTCTAGCCTATATAATGATATATAATTCAAATATAATGCAGTGACTGCTGCACAGCTGGCAATTTAGTGATAACTGAACACATTTCAAACAATAGACATTTCACTACAGTCTTTCAGATCAGTCTTTCAGGCCAATAAAAGAGGCACAGAGGAATCTGACTGTCAGGCTCAGTCATGCAGGAGCCCTTTTATGGGCTCATAGACAGACCTACGAAGATGAATCACCAGCTCTGCTGCCTAAAACATATTAGATCAAAGCGAAACATGGACGCATGTACTGTCTCTCACCTCAGAGTGAATGGAGGATTTGTGCGTGTCGGGAATAGAGAGCAGGATCTTTTCTATCAAGCTGCGGCTCCTCTGCACGATCTCCTGAGCCAGCGGATCCTCAACAAGTGTGTTTCTCTCCGGCAGAGGTGCGCTGCTGGCGACGGTGGCCATGTAGCAGTGAATGGTGAAAACTGCAGGAGGAGAAAAAATCCAAATGTCACCGTCGAGGCATCAAAACAGCCCCCTTTACAAAAATCTAGCACCAAGTGTGTGTGGTGTGTGTGTGTGGCAGAGGAGGACAAGAGAACAAAGCCCGGCTTTCTCTCCTCAGCAGCTCCTCTGTGCTGTAGAAACTGGGCATGTCTCCCCCGCTGGCTTAATAGCCGCATGAGTTGAGAATAGTCACTGTAATGTGAAACCATAACCCAAAAGTAACTACAGCAGTCAAACATAGCCAATATGCCATGTCTGATCAGATGTAAACTTAAAAATAAGCATAGTCCTTAAAAAGGGGGTCCAGATGCTTAAAATATTAAATTTGCAATAATACCAGTTAGCTGAGATAAAAGATAGTCTAAAGGTTGATCCTGGATGGCTCTCCCTCAGAGTCTCTGCTGGGTCTGATGAGCCGAAAAGAGAAAGCAGTGTTACACAAGCATTGCCTCACTACTACTCACCAATCAGGAAATTCATGGCCTCTGTTGAGAAATGTTTTTAAGTATTGACCTCAAGTGATCAGTATCCATGATTTATAGTAGACGTATGGTCACATATATATAGGCCATCATGGAGAGGGATTTCCCATAATTTGATCATCTGAATATTTTCAGTATTGAAAAAACATGCCCTGGCATATTTGTTTTTTTTTTTTACTAACTTGCATCCAAGTAATTGTGTCAATTATTATTGATTTTATTCATGATCATAATTTAATTTAACCTAAGCACAATATTGGATTATCTGTTCATTCATTTAACAATTTGGGTCATAAAATAATAGTAAAAATAATAGTAAACTTTATTTTAATACAATTTTTCAAATAAAATCCACCACAAATTACTAAACAGATTATAAAATAAAATCAGAATCAGAATTGTTTATTGCCAAATAGGTTTTTACACCTACGAGGGATGTTACTTGAAAATGAACACTAAGACAATTTTATGATTTAATATGAATGAAAAATAAAAGAATAAAAATGACAAGAAATTGAAACTAAAAGGATGGAAGTATTATGCAATTAAAAGTAACACAATTTACAAGTTTTATTTTGAGAACTGGGACTTCATTAGCTTGTAGTTTAAGTAATAAAAAGTAATAAATAGTGACAGGGAGGGAACAGGCATTTCCTCTGACATCAGATGGAAATTGAAAGTGGTTAACTGCTTCAATCACTGTTTTCTGAAATGTCGGATTTTTTTTTTTTTGTTTTATTCTCTTATGACGTCTGTGTTCATCCTACACACGTGTAAGAAAGAAATATTTGTGGTAAATGATGATGAGATGAGAGTGCAAATAACTGAAGTATACACACTGTTGTATTGCAGGAAATTGAAAGGCCTAAGTTTTTTGGGGGGACCCTGGTAGCTCACCTAGTAGACCTGGTGCCCCATGTACCAATTGCTGAGTCCTGTTACAGCAGCCGTGGGTTTAACTAACCTGTGGCCCTTTTTTGCATGTCATCCACTCTCTCTCTCTCCCCCCATTTCCTATCTTTTATGAGCTGTCCTATTAATTAGGCCTTAAAAAGCACCTGCAGGGTCGGATCTAGAAGGTTTGCAGCTGCTAACCCTAAAAAATACCTGGCCGTACCAGTTTGGTGTCAACTGTTGTCAAATTTAACAGATATGTGATTGTGATTGAATCAGCATATATTTCTGCCACCACATGAATATTTCTGTAGATTCCCACCTGCTTAGCTGAAGAATCCTTGATCCATACAGGTCCCCACTGATTCTGTGTTAATGAGTTTCCACATACACATATACACACACACAGGTATATACAAGTACAGTTTGTGTATTGGGAAGTTAAAACAAGGCATGACAGATACAAGGGTGCCATCTAGTGGAATTATGTGTTTTACAAAATACACCTCATCTGTGTGGTTACACTGCAAACAGTGCTATGCTTTCATTTCACTCACAAATATCTCCAAGTTCAAAGGGCAGTCAAAAACAACAGTCACTAAGAGTGAACATTTAAATTACTGGAGATTTGAGAGTTGAAAAACAATTTATTCAATATATTGGGAAATACTCTAATTTGCTTTCTTGCCAAGAGTTTGATAAGAAAACTAATAACACTCTTGTGTCTGTATGCTAAATAGATTATGAAGCTACCACCAGGAGTGGGTTAGCTTAGCTTAGCATAAAGACTGGAAGCAGTGGGAAACAGCTAGCCTGGCTCTGTCCAAAGAGTAAAAAACCTGCCTACTAGAACCTCTACAGAGACCACTAGAAGTCACTGCCCCTGGCCAGGAAATATAGGCACCTAACCTCCAATAAAACCACAACCTTCCAATTGTTTTTACACTTTAGTTTTTGTACAACATGTATGTAGGCTTACCCCTTTTCTATTTAGTCAGAGCCAGGCTAGTTGTTTTCCCCTGTTTTCAGTCGTTATGCTAAGCTAAGCTACCCAGGTGCTGGCTCCACTTAAATATTTACCATATTATTTTTCTCTTAAATCCTCATTTCAAAATTCTAAACTCCAGACATATACCATTGTCGTGAGAGTTGTAATCACCACATAGGTCAAAACTGTGCCTCCATTGTAGCAGATCGGTTTGCTTCATGCTCTGACACGAGGGCCCCTTGATCAGTCAGTGTAGCTATGTTACATCTGGCATGCTTGATAGGCTGTGAAGTGAAGCCGTCAAATCTGATCCCTGAAATCCACACTGGTCTGATCTCCAATCAATCGTACACATGAAAGGAGGGCATTATTCACTGCTGAGGCCTCGCTCTATGGCCTCGTCAGTGACCCAGTTGAAAACACAATTTGGTTGTAACGGTGGGAACAATGCGCTAGTTCGCCTTTGGATGGGCAGAGAATGGCTGCAGAAGTATTTCCTGCCTTTTTAACTCTTGAAAGCATGCACTCACCTTTGTGTTCGCTTGTTACAACACCATCATTACAACAAGTGAAAAAGGTATCTATTGCATGATTTCCATTAGATTTAGTATGCCATGTTCGTAGTCTGTGAAAGCTTTAATAATTTAAAATGAGCTTCTGCAGGGATGAGCAATGCTTCAAATGATGGACCCACAGGTCATTCTGAATGGACTGAACAGGTCAAAGGGGTTTTAAGATGGCAGGCAAGGAGAGTATCCACAATGAAAACAGTACAAGGTTTTTATATTCAGTCCTTGCTACTTAAATCTCAAACTTTTGTCACACACAACTTCTTCTTCATGTTAGATTTGCCATTTAAGGACCCAGTATTTAACATATTAAGTAAAGAAAAGGGATTTAACGGTTAATCTTGGGTGAATATTGTTTATCCGCAATTATCTTAGTAGATTTGTAAATGCCTTCTAACATTTTTGTACTAAAATTGTTTATCTTGAAAGAACTGGCATTAATTCAGCCTGACATCAACACTAGTGCTCATGCAGAACATTAATCCTGCGAACATACTAGTGTTGAAATACCGTACCCCTGCTAAAGTGTATATCAGAAATTGCTTATTAAGCAAAATCGGGAAAGTTTGAGATAGCATGCACTGGTGTTCATGGGTCAAGACAAGTTGTTGTGAAATACCGCTAATTCACCAGGATGTCCAGCTTTGATTTCCTTTGAAACCAACTTTCCATTACTGATTGCTGATGTGGAATGTGTTTTACACAGAAATAGAATGCAGGCCATGTGAGGAGGATATGTGTTGAAACTATCCAAATTGAAATATGGTCTTCTTCAGAGGAAGGATGGTCATTGCTCATGATTTTACAAGAATAATGGACTGACTTGTAATTTCATATAAATTCTGACTCAGATAGAATAGAAGCTTGACATGTCAGCATATCTGTCATTCGTAATCTGATTATATCGATGTCTACAGATTTAAATATTCAATGAGAAATCATCCATATATCCTTCCTGATTCGCTTTTATATATTTCACAACAGATGATCAATCCCTGACAGTATAGCCTTGACCTACATGAAGTATGTATGTCATACTTGTAAGTAGGTCACATTTTTGAATCTAGATTAAGATTTACTCTACAGGGCAATTTTGAACATACATATCCATATACTGTGCAATAGTTATACATACATATGTTGTATATACTGCTCATTGAACCTGTCAGTACTCACATTTCAACTGTTTTACCTCCTGTGCTATGGTATATCCACGTAACAGTCATTAATATGTCTATAGTACATTTGTAATATCCATTAACTGTCTAATAACAGTATCAGTAACTACTTGTACATTGGTGTATGACATTTCAACATAACATTCTGATTATTGTGTTATAAAATAAAACATACTGCATAGTAATACCCATATATGGAGAGTTATAATGAGATAAATAATAAAGATAGAATTCCTTTCTGATCATTCTTTGCAGTCACTGAAAATAGTGTTTCATTAATTACTGTGCTCAAACAAGGCTGGATTAGCAACCTGGTAAAGCAGGTACCTGAGACAGCAGACTCAGAGGCCCAAGGGCCTTGGTTGGTGGCGTGGCACATTAAACAAAAGGATTTTAATTTACCACAAAATAAAAACTGAAGAGGTAAAGGCCCTTATCTTATTTCTGCATTTTTTACCTAATCTTGTGTCATTTCTAGTTTAATACCTTTAATATTTCAGTTTATAATATGCATGATACATGTTCTTAAACAACTTAACAGCTTAATCAACAAAGTCACAGCAAACCCGGTACAGGTAGCATTCTGGTTGGTCCCCAAAGCTAGTGGCTTTATCCGGCCCTGCTGTAAGCATATGTCCTTATTATGTGACGTGTCTCTTTGCTGCGATGACTTTGTGTTTTTGACTGATGAATGCTAATCTTAAAGTGAAAACGTTCAGATAAAAAAAAATAATTTCTCACACTTACACGCTTTCTACGACAGGGGGAGCTGTGTAACACAAAATGAAGCTGTTTTCTTCTTAGACAGACCATCACAGAATACTGACACTCACCCAAAGGATGTCCTTGTCACTCTCCTCAGATGTACCATCTTAGGTGTCACTTACCTTTTGGGCTAAAAGAGAAAATCAGGTGCTGACACAGGCCCTCACTGGGAGACCCCATGTGATCTTGGAGCCTGGAAACATTTTCACCTGCAACCCAATCCCAAACAGGGCTGCGCTCTGTGGGATTGGATGCGTCACCTTATCCCCCACTTTGTGTCCCATTACCCAGCAGTTGTAATGCTCACACCAGTGTAACGTGTCTAAGGTAGCAGGCGGGGCAAGCTGAGCTGGTCTGAAATTTAAATTAACCTCAGCGACATTTATGTGTGCTGGGGAACAGAGGTGTTACATTACCAGTACCCTAACTCCTGCCATGCACACACACCTGTTGTACATACAGGTGAACAAAAGAATGTGTGCACTCACATACATTAGCTGTAAGAAATACAGAGTCACACATGTCTGTTGCTAGTTTTATGTTTATCTCTTCTAGTGGTGAGTCTCCTTTAACAGTGGCTGG